CCTGGACCACTTCCCGGAAAAAATGGGTCATATATGCTAATATATGCAAAAAAACTACTTACGTACTAAATTTTAAGCAAATCGGACTATAATACGATTTTTTTAGCTTAAAAGATGATGGTTACTGAAAGCTATTTGTATACAAAATTTCATGAAAATCGGACCAGCCGTTCGCGAGATTACCTGTTACAAAAAAAGGGACTTCTCTTTATATAATTAGTATAGATAATATATCTCAACTAATATATATTTAGAAAGCCGTATGTTAGTTTTCGCAAGGCTCGAGAGCGGCTGAACCGATTTTTTTGAAATTGCCATTTGCCGCACGTGTCCCAAGGATGGTTTTAGGCTGCGTGGCACTTCCCATACAAACCGAATTTCTCATGTTACATATCTCTGAAAGTGTGCATGGTAGAGTTTTGGAAATTGGTATGGAGATATACGAAATCAATCGCATACCCTTGGAGAAAAATTTTAGCTATTGTAAAAAGGGGTGTGACATCTCCCATACCAACCGAATTTTTCATACTGCTTATCTCTGGAAATTTTTTGGAGGAGTTCTAGAGTTTTGTATGGAGATGTACGAAATAAATCGCATACTCTTGGAGAAAAATTGGAACTATTGGAAAAGGGGGCGTGGCATCTTCCATACAAACCGAATTTTTCATACTGCCTATCTTTGGAAGTGTTCATGGTAGAGTTCTGGAACTTCGTATGGAGATAGTATATAGTTGAAATCAAGCCCATTATCATGGAGAAAATTTGGGCTATTTGAAAAGGGGGTGTGAGGCCTACAAACGTACCGACCTTTAGCTATCTTTGAATGTATTTTTTAATTCTTCTGCAGGTGTGTTTGTTAGTGAAATCCTCCTAAATGGTTGTACGGATTTTAACAAAACTTTTTGTGTGTTTGAGTGGGTCTCTGGATGGTTTAGTTTCATAATTTATCCGACAGTTGGCGCTGTAGTTGAGTTATTACTAAAAATCTTATTTATGATCCGATTTGGCTAATGTTTTAAATATGTATGCAATACTATTGCAAAAACGTGCTGCCAAGTGGTGCTGAAGTCGAGCTATTACTAAAAATATCCAAGTTAGAAAAGGGGCCGTGAAGGTCAGATTAAATCGACCTGTTGCACCATTGGGTATATCGAACGCTCCTGCGTTGCGATTGGCCCAATGGATGTGATTTTCCAATATTATTATGCGTTCAAACTTTTAAGGTATTTCGTCTGAAATAAGTATATGTATATTGCATTTCTGTAGAACAATGATTCGCACCCATTTTGAAATTGCCACCAACTATACTGTAAAGCTTCTAGGACATTCACTATAGAACCGGGTTGTTGCCACCAGGGAGTGAAGAGGAAAAAATTTATTTCGCTTTGCGAATAACCGTGCTATGAAATGCCGCACAACTGGAGAATTTCAAGAACTTCTTCACGGGTATAACACTTTCCTTAGGTTATTTAAAGCGGCAAATGACCACCAAACCTTAATCTTAGCAGACAAATGTGCCTATGAAAATTGTAAACGTTAATTGTTGGTGAAAATGTTGGACCAAAAAGTTTCAATAATATATAAAAATTTTGGGCGGGACGAAGTTCGCCGGGTCTGCTAGTATATATTATATGTTTAAATATGTAGGTTTATTTTGTCAATTGCAACTCTAGAAGCACCACAAACAATTCTTTTGTTAACGTGAATCGCACTAAGCATAATGCCATCAGCTATTTTTCTTACTGGCATATAATTACTAGTAAACAGGCTAATTCATCTAAAACATTATTTTTAGTAGTGCGCGTATTGAGTCCATGCGGTGTTCAGTCATAAAAAAGATGGGTATTGATTGAGTGTGCGAAATTGCGGTGCAAATCTCTAAAAGTCACCGCAGAAGAACATTGTACGTCAATACAGAAGTGACCATCTCCAGTTCCCACTGGTCTAGGTACTAATTCCTCGAAAGTCTTTTGATAACATGAAGACAATAGTTGAGTATTCCAATAGAACAATAGCTAATCCATAATCGACCTCTGAAAAGTGTTTGAAAGATGAGAGAATAACACTTGCAAATACGCGTTGTTTATCTTGGAGATTATGGCGCGTATTCATAGTCCAGCAACTAAGTCGAAACTAACAAAGTTGCAACTTAAATTTAAGTACCAACTTAAAATTTACCTCTATTCATAGTCGCATTTCAGACTTCTACTAAGTAGTTTCGACTTAGTTTACGATATAGCAAAACGAGTGTGAAAATGTATCGATTTTTCTTTACGATATTTTGGAAAAATTACATTTTTGTTAAATAATGTCAAGTTTGATCATCCGCTTATGTAATTTTTATTTTCATTGCATGATTATGCAAAAGAATAAGGTATCATTTTCTTGTTAATTGTGAAATAGCCAGAACAACCGCAGTGATGTGAAGTCGATGTTTATCGAAAGCATGCTGTGAAACATACAAATAGTAGATATCTAAATGTTATGCACAAATTAACTTTAAAAGAACTAGCGTGAAACTGACTTATTATTTGAAAATTTATCTAAATTTTTCCAATTATAATATTGTGATGTAGCTTTATTCGAATTGTAAATTTTAATTGGAGATTATTCAATATTATCAAAATCACCCTCTACCAACTTAATTTTTACATATTTCGGGTGTTTTCCCTTAATTTGATAAAATACTTCTTCCTAGTTACGACTTAGTTGCAGCTGCAGCCGAAACTAAATTTTAAGTTGGTACTTAGCCAGAAAAGTCGAAACTAAGGCGACTATGAATAGCTTTAGTTGTGACTTAGAATAGTTTCGGCTTAGTTGAGTACTAAATATGACTATGAATATGTGCCTATGTACTTTATAAGGTTTACCCCCTGTCTCGACATGCGAACGCCGATGTCATGCGAATCATCTCCTAATATATATTGCAAATGAAGGTCGCTGATGACAGACCTCATGCAATGAATAGCAGAGCTCATCGCATGAGAATTATTGCATGCAATGAACTGTCAACAGCATGTTTGTCGGTTGGTTTTTGCGATAAACCTGGATGAAAATGTGTTTTATGTAACAAATATGCTTAAAAGATTGTGAAAAAACTATATTTGTGAATAAGGTAATCTAAAAATAAAATGTTTCACTAGCTTTTTGCAATGAAATCTTATGCGATGATAAGCCCACTTATCAAAATTTCTCTACGGTAACTGTTCCACATTATATCAAATAGACAGTTCGCATAAGATGGCTGATTACAAATGGAAACGCGGCGTAATTAAATATTTATCAATGAATACTGAAATGTTTTTCTTTTCAATTATGTACATAGATACTTATTCCGGTTACTTTTAAAAGTCTTTTAATGAATATGTTTCATCCCAATTACCAACTTCTGCAATCCATTATTTTCTCTCTTTGAATGCTAATTTCAGGTTAATAGTTACGTAAAACAATAATAAGCTTAAGAAATTGCAGTTACCTTTATTTCACTAAGATTAAAACGTTGAAGTAAACAAAAATGCGCAATGAGTTCCAACAGCCGGGCTAGTTATATTTTTAATTTAGGTATTGTTGAAGGAGCTAAAAGCGCAAGGAAAGTACATACTTATATATATATGTATGTATTAAAAGCATTTTCTCACTAATGAAGGGCATTATGGTGAAAATTAAAAACGTAAGAAACAATACGTTAACCAACAAACTTAAAATTTTATTTTTTAAAGCCACAAATATTAACGCAACTAAATGCGCGGCAGCAACTCAGGCAATTGGGTGTGCTCGAGAAGAAAGCAACTGCAATAGGCACGTACATATCCAGTGTTGCCACGGATATATTTTTTTCCCCTACCAAAACAGAAACAACCAAAACTTACCAAAATTTTTTTTAAGTTTTTAATATTTTGTTTTAATGTCAAGTTTATTAAAAAGGTAGATAACATAACATTTAGAAAAACTAAAACGCATCTAGTACAATAAAACAAACTAACTACGTATAACAATTCATTTTACTGTACAGACTTACACAAGTGTTTACTTCTTTACACATCTTCTTCTTCTTCTTCTTTTTTGGCGCTGTAACCGCCTAAGCGATTTTGGCCGAGTTCAGCAAAGCACGCCAGTCGTTTCTCCTATGTGCCAACTGACGCCATTTGGAAACGCCAAGTGAAGCCAAGTCCTTCTCCACCTGATCTTTCCATCGCAGTGGGGGGCCTCCCTCTTCCTCTGCTACCACCAGCGGGTTCGAGTTGAATACTTTTAGAGCTGGAGCGTCGGTGTCCATTTCTTTACACATACATATTATAATTATTATTATTACGTCGGGGATACACGCGCTGCGACCTAAGAAGACCTATTGTGCTTAACCCTAATTGTAATCATTCCAATCTTATTCTCTTTAAGAAGTCATTCACTTTGGAGGGCCCCATATTTAAAATTTTGGATGAAGAAGGCAATCAGTATGCTATTTATGATACGTGGGCAGTCACATCGAATATGCTCTGGGGTTTCCTCCAGCAGCCCACAAAACGCTTTGCGAGACAGCCAGCTTTCGTTGCCTTCAAACCCTTCATGTCCCGGAACCCACCACAGCGTTACGTTATTGTGAGCGACGTAATATTTAATTTGGTTCCATCTGTGATTCTACACAGACTTCGATTGCTCCAGTACTCTCGTCGTCCATCTTTGATCCGTCGGTATACCATGCTTGGGACCTTTCGCCAATCATAGTTATTATCACTTCACAGCAATCCCTCTCAGGAGTTCTAACCTTGAGGGTTTGTAGAAGGATAGCTAGGGACTGTCCAGGAATGATTTTGGAACCTCCAAATGACCCCGAAAATCCCAATTTTTCTTGCTGCTGATATTGGGCAGTCGTAGGGTGCTCTTTTTGAAACAGAATAGACAAACAACAACAAGGGAATCCATTGTACAGGTGCCCATACCTCCTAAAATGACCACCGGATCAGTCGGTACAGCTTGCTAAAAATTGGAACCTGACTTTAATGGCGTAGTTTTTTATCACCAAGCCAGTGACAACGGGTCTTACTTCCATACTAAAAGACCAATAGGTTAGTTTTATATTCCTCAAGTCTTACAATGAAGTCTCTGTCAGGTGGACTCCACCGGCGAAATATTCGTGGAAACAGGGTTGCTAAAATGTTTGGAGATACATATTTTATATTTTTTATTTTTCGCAAATAATTATTATTGTCGCGGAACCTACCAAAATCCAGTCTAGACTGCCAACCTACCAAATCGAAAAAAAAACTAGGAAAGCCCATGTTTGGTAACACTGTACATATCTAAACACTTTCTCTCTCTCTCTCACTCTCCCCGATTAGTTGCCAAGGCTTATGAGCAATTAGTGCGTTTTTATGCTGAACGTTAATATTAAAAATGCGAAAATACGCTAATTAGCAAAAACCGTAATATAATTTTCTCTCTTCAAGTTTAATGGAAACGTCCTTTCGCCATCCACAAAGCAATACTGCTGATGGCAAGGAATGGATCCAGGCGAGCGCTGGCATAACTGGTTACTTTGTGTTTATTATTTTGCATACGTACATTCATACCAGCAAAATGTTTGCCTTTTGTGTGCGCATTTGGTAAGCGGAAATGACGAGTTGACCAGGCTTGAGCCAACATGCGTGAATTTCTATTATTTACTCGGCAGCTGCAGCGCCACCATCATCACTTTTTGCATAATAGTTAACCGAAAGAAAAAAAAACACAGAGCGAAATATAACAAATTTACGAATTTTACATTTACAACCAAAAATAAAATTATAGAATATGCCAACGCACTAACGAGTTTTTATTAATTACGCAAATACTCGAACAACGCATTTGGTAGAGCGAAGAAGTGGGTACGCGCGCCGCCGACGGCACTGACTGTTTTGATTAACGACTAGGTGTTGGAAAGAAAAAATTTGGTCCAGCTGAACGAGGCGGAAATAAAGAAAGGCCGCGACGGGTTGGTGCACGGGTGCGCTTTTTAATGAGCAGGGAAACGAAATGTACACTCACTGGAAGTTGCTTTTAACACGCTGCAATTAGCAGGCGAAATTTAAAAAATTTGGTTATTACGGTTTTTTGCATAAAAGCGCAAAAAGAATTGTTCGCTCAAACGAATTACGCAACGATTTTCTTTTTTTGTTTACAAGTTTCTAAATAAAGAACAGCTTAACAGGCAAAAAGGCGATGGATGTTTGTATGCCAGTTTGTGCAACACAAACAATTATATTTTAATCGCCTAAAAACTCTTCAGGAGGGCAATGAGGTATAGCGTTCTTCTGGGTATGTAGTTATGCTATACTCAATCCAGAGACTTGCGTCCTCGTTCGCGCACTTTGAGAAACGTGAGCAAGCCATGTGCGAGATGCGGTAACCAACCCGAGGGGTGCCTTGGCTGGAAAGAGAGGGAGCTTTAGTGGAATTACTCCGACTTATGTATTTGGTTTAAGGGTTCACTGAAGTCTGCAGCGCCTGTTCACCAGTAAATGCGGTTGCAAGCGGACGTCTGTCTTACAGCAAGCGTGTATCCGGTTGAAAAGCCAATCATCCTTGTAATGGTTGTACCTGGCCCGGCACGTAAAACGCCTTCCAATGAAAAGAGCAGAAGGACCTTGGATTACTGCCTCCCAAAACTTGACGACCATCGCTCACGAAATAAGGACTATGATTTACGAATATGTACTTGGAATGTCCGGAGCCTCTATAGTGAAAGTGCATCTATCCTTTTGCTGGATGTCCTCGAAATATCTAAGACTGACTTTACTACAATCCAGGAAATGCGATGGATGGGCATGCAGCTTACATGAGACGGCGCACGAATTGGGTGTAAAATTTGTGGTTGGACGGAGACCACGACGCCAAGTCTCCAGGTTCACTCCCATCGAACGAATCGCCACGATCCGCATCAAAGCTTAATTCAACAACTTAAGCCTCACTTGTGCACACGCTCCACGACTGTGGTCAAGGAAGGCATTTTGGTTCCAACATTCGTAAAATTCAGCTTTCATGAGAACACCTCCAACAACGTAGAGAGGCTGATCGAATTTGCCGCTGCACGGAACATGGTTCTTAGTAGTACCATACGCCGGCATCGAAACATCAATAAAGCCATTTGGGTGTCCCCTGATCAAAGAACGAAGAACCAAATAGTCATGTTGTGGTAAAGATACGTTTCACGCTTGATGTGCGTTCTATCAGAGGAGCCAACATCGGATCACTACCTTGTTGCAGCCAAGGTCCACATGTGCCTCTGTGCCATGAAGAACGTGCGCCAGGCAACTCGGCGAATGTTCGACACCGAGAAGCTGCAGTCACAGCAGACAGCCGAGAAATTCCGCAATCGATTCTCAATCCTGCTTAAAAAAGGAAATCTGCAACGATCGGATATAAATTAGCAGTGAGAATCCATTTCCCAATCTTTTCGTACCGCTGTGGAAGAGGTGGTGGTATACAACCCCCCACGCAGGAACAGCTGGCAGAACTAAGAGTGCCGTGCGGTTGCTGCAGAGAAATGCGCAGCATACAAAGTCACCCTGTAGCCAAAAGCTAAGCGAGCAACAGTGGAACGATACCGGCAGATGAGGAGGGAGGAGAGATGTCTATTGAAAAGAACTAGAGGCATAAAGACGTGAATGCGAAGAGTTTGAGATGCTGGCAGACAAAATGCGGCTCGAAAATCATCGATCAGAAAATAAGGCAGCAATCATCTAGTTTCAAGACCGGGCAGGTTTCTGTAGAAATGAAGATAGAAATCTGGTAACAGATGTCCAGAGTGCACTTGAGATGTGGAGGAAACACTTCTAAACACTTTTGAATTTGGACGCAACAGGGACGAAGCTGAACGAGGGACGAGGTGTCCCCGGAGCCGACAGTGTACAGGCAGAGCTGTTCAAAGCCGGCGACGAAGAGCTGGTCGGACGCTATTAAGCAGAATTTTATCTGATGAATTAGTCGACACACTCTAACTTTTTGTCGATTTTAAAACTGCTTTTGATAGCACGAAGAGGAGCTGCGTTTACGATGCCAGACAAGATGGACTGTAAAAAGCCTTCGCGTTATGCGACACACGTCACTGTTGGCAGTCAAAGCTTTGAAACAGTGAAGGACTTTGTTTACTTAGGATCCAGCATAAACACCACCAATAATGTCAGTCTGTAGATAATGTGAGGAATAACTCTGGCCAACAGCTGCTACTTTGGGCTCGGTAGGCAACTGAAAAGCAGAGCACTCTATCTGCGAACGAAAATGACGCTCTGGAAATCTGGGCATGATGACAGATTTGTCCTTTTATATGGGGCAAAAACATGGACGAAGTCTAACAAAGACGAGAGCGTTCTTCAACCGAATTCTGAAATAAGGCGCTGTTAAAAAACTTGGCTGCGATCTTTCATTCAGCCATCGATGTACTGCCGTTCGATAGATAGACACATCAAGATGTGTACCAAAATGATCGGGACGTTGATATGAGTTGATTTAGCCATGTCCGTCTGTCTGTCGGTTTGAACGCAATCTTGTCCCTCCGATTTCCACGGAAGTTTTGTAAGCGGGTGTATTTTTGTAATGTATTAAATCATTTGTCGGAACCGGGAAAATCGGACCTGTATAAAATATCTCTCCCATACAACTGATTGTCCAGATATGAGATTTTCGCTGTAATTCCTCCGTTTGCGCAGCTAGAGGCTCCATAGAAAGCTTAATGTGAAAATGACAAATATCGGCTCAGATAGGGGTTTATAAAACCTGTTTCATTTGGACAGCTAAAATCGAACAATTTTGTGAGCTATTTTCTAAATAATCATACAAAGTTTACTAATAAAATCATCAAGCTCTATAAGCTATATCTCCTATACCACTGATTTTTTGGTACCTTGGGAAAAATACATACATGTACATTTACTGCTGTGATTTGCTTGACCTTATTTTGTCGGTCCAAACAGGAATCTCGATTT